AATAATAATAATAATAATAATAATAATAATAATAATAATCTGTGGTCTTGTGTTCAGTGTTCCTGGCTGCAGAACCAGAGGTCCCGGGTTCGATTACCTGTGTTACCAGATTCTGAGAAGTAGTAGATCTGGATTGGACTGATCTTGCTCAGGATAGGGACCAGTGGAGGGCTCTTGTGAACACGGTAATGAACCTTTGGATTCCATAAAATGCTGGGAAATTCTTGAGTAGCTGCAGATTTGGCTTCTCCTCAAGAAGGGCTCAGCTCCATAAGTAAGTAAGTAAGTAAGTAAGTAAGTAAGTGGATCTGGAACGGGGTCCACTCAGCCTCATGAGGATAACTGAGGAGCTATTTCAAGGAAGTAGCGGCTCCGGTCTAGAAAATGGAAAATTAACGGCCGTGGGGATCAGTTGCCTGACCACGCGACACCCTCTAACCGCTAAAGTTGGCACTAACTTCGCCGACAAGCGGCGGTAGCACGGTCGGTATGGTTCGCTTGAGGACTACAGGACACGGAGTTTTTGTTTTGTTTTATACATTCGTTCCATAAAATATCGTGCAGCTTAGCAATGAAAGCACTGGTACTACCATACAGTTCTGCCAACTTCGAAGATTGGGTAGATAGCGACATCAGAGGGTCCTCCGATTCCGTAGTTTGCTTGCCACGTGGCTAAGCCCGACGCTTCCAACGGTCATCCACCACAATACGCCTACAGCATACTTGGATCGTGGATTCGAAAGCCCGTCGTAACAAGGATATTTGTGCGCGTCTTTCTCTTGCATCACGTGGTGGAAATTCTGAGAAGGATCTGAGGACCAATCATATGGTGACTGAAAGGTACATCATCTCAATAGTAAATGCTGAAGATTAAGAAGCCAGTGCGCCCGTTATGTAACTGTAGCAATAACAGTCAATAAGGTGACTACGCGAGGAGCAACCGTGGTTCGAGTTCCTGCAAAGACAGATTTATTTTCTCGCCAATACATCCAGACACGCTTCATGTGTACCTGGTACCTGGCAGTAAAACGACTGGATCGTGAAACTAACTACTCATCCCCGTCAATATGTGGGAAAGGGATTTAAGGAATATAGCCACTTATAAAAACAAATGTACCCGTCGACAGAATAACAGTACGCAACACACAACTGCTCTTATGTCCACCATTGGTCCCTCACAACTCGTCCGTAACCAAGGAACTGTCAGGTTTCTGATGTTTTCTATGGAGATTTGCCTCTTCTCGCCTTACACGCCCTCATGACATGGTACCTAGGCAAAGGGACTCATTTACTTTCGCTTTCTTAATAGCAGAACAAGAAGAAGGAGTTTTACATAAGTAGTTTCAAAATGCGGCATTGCTTTCAGAGACCCTGTGTTTAGTACGAGTATAACTTTTCTTTTCATTTTAACGCGATTAGTCTTAGTCAGATTATCAGCCATGTAACTGTGCCGGAGAAAACAATAACGACGTTTTTTTTTTAATATTCGAACCCTTCACGACATTCCCCAATAGGAGACACACATTTTATACATCGAACGTCATGTTTGTTATGTGTTATGTTCGTTACTTTTACACTTATGCGAAGAAAAATAAAGAGAAGACTGCTTTCTTCATAGTCACCGCCGTGAAAGCCTCAGATCTTACAAACATAAAGAGACAGCAAATTTGCACCACGAGAAACTTGTGTTATGTAACGACACCTTCTAATTTGTACTGGTTGTCTCACGCGTAATGACAGGGAGATGTCTGAATATTGTAAGGATGGCAGAATGATGTGGTGGGAAAGGTAGGATTATTTTTGAGTACGAAATATTCATTAACGACTGTGTTATTAATGTACTGTTTCACGATTGGTACATTCACGTGTTAATCGGCGTTTAATTAGCGACTTTGAATATAATGATTGTAGGTTGTAAAGAACTGTGGAATGAAGCATCTGTGTTATGCAGGCGACTGATTCATAAATTGTTTAACGACTGTATGTAAACTACAGTAGATGCTTAGAGCCTAATGATAAATGATTGTGTATGGGCAACCGGAAGGTACTGAGTAGGAAGCGACTATGGCCTACTTCGAAGTAGTATCTTTATAGAAGCCTGAAGGAATTAAGGGAAATCATAAAAAAAACAGTAAGAATATCCCATGTCCTGGCCAAGATTAAAATTTGGCATCTCCTTAATATAAGTAAAAGCGTTGCTACTTCAAAAAAATTGCTCCCATTGAAACTGAAGGACGAATAACAATTGGCAGCATATAACGGCTCATTCGATACAATCATTAAACTACACAAAGTGGACAGAAGTATTCAAAATCCAATCAGCATTACACCAATATTTTAGAGAGGTCGCGCCATAGCTCAAACGGTTAGTAGCTGGCTTCCCATCGCGGCGGCCCGGGTTCGATCCCTGGTTTGGTCAAGTGGGATGTGTGGTCGACGAAGTGGCGGTGGGGCAGGTTTCCTCCGAGTACTTCGGTTTCCCCTGACAATCTTCATTCCACCAACTGCTCCACAATAACCCTCACCTATCATCTTGGGCTGGTACAATAGGCCAGACGTGGCCGCAGTAGAAGGGTCTTAGTCCCACCCCACTAGCAATAAAAATAATATAATAGAGAGACCAATTCTATACAACCAACTTTGAATAAAGGTCGTTATACATTACAACTTTAGAGGCCCATTCAGTATAGATATAGGGCCTATTTAATACCTAGCCAATATATTTAATATGGTAGAAGTTAAATGTATTTTTAGAATGCATTTTAATGTATTTATATAGACCTCTCAGCTATATTCAGTGTTTAATCTCCTGCACAGTGAACATACTAAAACGTCTAAGCGTGACATATGTATGAAAATTATTTACGAATTTCTTCATCCCTGTCTTTCTTCTAATTTTACTGAAAGACCTGTATAATGATAAAATATTTATGTGTAATACTACACCCAATAATAAAAATAGACAATTTAAAAAGGGATAGACAGAAATAACAGTAATCTCTCCTCAATGGAGTGAAATAACATATTAACATTATCTTTAACATGGGCATCTTAAGTATAATAGCACATTCCGCAATCTTAGCCACCGCAAATTGTAAGAACAGATGTTTACACTATCTAGTTCTGTCTACCCGGGTACTTTCTTGCATAATCAGAAAATAGGTTGAACGGTGTATGTGTGTATGATGCGGCTGTAATAAAATAAACTTCAGACATCAATATGGTTTATAATTTTTCAAGCCAAGTAACTGTCTGTACTCACCCTTTTCGCTGTCATGTTCCTCGCAACTGGTGCACTCGGGTGTCGATCTCAACTCATCGTCAGAGCTTGAGAAGGATTGTTGCTGTGACTGCTGAAGATGTCTCGACGTCACCAATTGTTGCTGTGATTGCTGCGAAGCGGTGGAAGACGGATGCGCATGCGCCTTCTTACCAGAACCGCTTCTCTTGTGTTTCTTATTATTTCCTCCGGATATCATCATCATCGGCGCACCACTACTTCCACGCATCACTGCAGTAGGCGGACATGACGTCATATCCATGGAAGAAGACTGTTCCGAACTTAAAGAATCGTTTCTAAAACCACCACCAGCACTTACACCAGCACTACCACTACCTCGATGAACTATTTCACTTCCGTACAACCCAGTACCGTGAAGATGTTGGTATGACTGTTGTTGTTGCTGTTGACTTCGCATCAAACCCTCCAGTTCATTACGATAATACCTGGGGTCGTCTTCGTGGTACGACTGTTGAAAACTTTGTCCACGGTCTACAGAAGGTTCCCTGACCCTACCTGTATATCTCTGAGAGGGTGAAATGACGTCCACACCACTGTCACTCGCTGACATTCGACGCCCCGACGTAGTCGTCTGTTCTTGTTGCGAATACTGACGCCTTAGGACACTTCCTGATCGTGCTAATGGCACGTTCTCTTTTTCCGCAGCGCTGTGTGCTCTTTCGAGTTTCGGACGCTTGTCTATTGGCGTTGTCAGCGTCGGTGTAATATCTTCGGGCTGTTGATGAAGATCTGCCTCTATCCGGCGCATGATGGCATCGCCTGTTCCCATTCCCTTGTTGATCCACTGACCCGTTTTACTTAAGAGTTCCTGTTTCTTTCGGCAGAGAATACACACCCAGATTACCTGTAAGCAAGAAGCGATTCGGAGTTAGTATGTTATTAATATGTAAGGATTCAGACTACATAAAATAATTCATGGCGTTAATCGGTTCAAGATTTAGTCCGGAGGAGTCACACCACAACACCGCATACCCTGTTCCCATCTATTTAAATGTTGGTGCAAGTATATGATGAACTATCTCTTTTAATGCGATCTAGGAACGCAGAAGACCACATAGTTCATAAAATAAATACTGGTCGCCTTTCCCATATGCGCAGGTCTATTCCCGCATATCTTTGTAGCCTAAGATGTGGGCAGGATATAACATTATAGAGTTTAATGACGCTTTCCAATTGCATGCATTTGTAGCGCTGAAAGGAACGTTGTTTACGAATGATGAATTGCTATGGACGTGGAAGAGAGCGGTCCAGAATTGCTATCCAGAGTCTCAGGTCACATTTGGAGTCAGGGAGTTCTCAGTAAAAACGCACGAATGCTAAGCACTTGTCCGGAGCCCATCTCTTCCTAACTTACGATGCGCTGTACCGTGGTAACAAGAGACACGCCTCGATGTCAATAGAATATTGGTCTCACGCTGACCAGGTAAGTTCCCATACGCGCGACTTATACGCTGCTTCTGTCTCTTACCGAAGAAGAGTAGACAGGAATTCAGAAAAATAATGGAATCTATGTGCAGTGATACAGTTTAAATGTTTTACTTGTACTGTTACTCTTGTCTTCTCGTCTGCTGTCCAAAAACATAAAAGTTAGAATATACAGAACTATAATTTTGCCTGTGGTTCTGTATGGGTGTGAAACTTGGTCTCTGACATTAAGGGGGGAAGATAGACTGAGGGTGTTTGAGAACAGGGTGTTGAGGAGAATGTTTAGACCGGAGAGAGAAGAAGTGACAGGAGGTTGGAGAAAACTGCACAGTGAGGAGTTTCATAACTTGTACTCTTCTCCAAGTATAATTAGAATGATCAAGTCAAGGAGGATGAGGTGGGCAGGGCATGTAGCACGAACTGGGAAGACGAGTAATGCGTATAGGGTATTGATGAGAAAGCCAGAAGGAAAGAGACCACTGGGATGACCAAGGCGTAGGTGGGTGGACAATATTAAACTGGATCTTAGAGAGAGAGGATGGCATGGTATGGATTTGATTGTTCTGGCTCGGGATAGGGACCAGTGGAGAGCTCTTGTGAACACGGTAATGAACCTTCGGGTTCCATAAAATGCTGGGGAATTCTTTAGTAGCTGTAGAATTGGCAGCTCCTTGAGTAAGTAAGTAAGTAAGTACTATTAGAATATCAGTCTGTTATCAGGGAGGTGATTTATTGTTAACTGTGATACGCTGCGTTCGAAATTTCGCAGATTCTCCTGCTACAACTGTCGGATCGTTGTCAACTAGTTTTCTACTTGATGCCTTAACTAACTCCATGACGCACGGTTCCTATGCAGAAGCTAATGTTTAAGCAATTACAATGACGGAAACCAAAGACTGATTACCATATTCACAGAAGTCCGCCACTGTTACCCATCGTGAGCTAAACAATACATCTTACACCCTACCACCCTGTTTAATTAAGATGAAGTTTATTATTACTGTCCTACCCAAGTAGCATGCAAAAGCAGAGCTACTCTGCTTTTGCTTGCTACTTGCTTCATGCTGGTTTCTTGCTTGGTTCTTTCTTTGAAACCTTAAAAATGGAGACTTTTTTTTTCCTTGGCACTACAGCCCCAGTGGGTCTAGGCCTGCCTCCATCAACTTCTCCGTTCACTTCGGTTTTTCTAGATCTTACACATACGGTAGGACTCCCTAGGCGAGTGATCAGCTCGTCGCAAGGCCTCTACCTGTAGACAAACACAGAAAAACGCACACAAATATCCATGCCCTGAGTGGGATTCGAACCCACGATCCCGGCTTCCGAGCAAGCGAAGACAGTGCATGCCTCAGAAAAAATGAGACACGCTCCTCCGAAATGTCGGTTGACTTTCGACGGCGCACACAGCTTAATGTCGTGCTGCTCTGAACCCAAAAGTTGTATTTGCACAGCCAACAGAAGTGTCGACCCGAGAAGGAAGGGTACGAGACTTGGACACGTGTCATAAGTCCAACTGACACTGAACCACTGTAGCCAGATAATCTTCATTTCAACTGCCATGACGAGATAACAATGGATCCTGCAAGGCATCCCCGCCCTGACAGACTGGTCCAGTTATTCGCGTGACGTCATACGCCAGGATATGACGCAATGTATTGATTTCACCAGATGTCACACCCTCTATTCCTAACCAGTCTCTCCCCCGCACTCCAGATTCCTGATCTGGACCACAAGCAAGATGAAGGTACTAAGCTTCAGGGAAAGACTTTGAAGGTTGGACTGCAAAAAGTATATGCCTATATTTACTCTGCTTTATTGAAATTCTTTCCATGAACACTTTCAAACCACTGGTTTGCTCAGACGTGGAGTTACATGCCGGTTTCGGCCCTCTCGCACAATACGAAGGAAAAATGATATATTCTGGCCGACATTATTCTATAGAAAAAGATAATAACGAAGTTTTCTGTAATAGTGCATGCAATTTGACATTTTCCGACTTTCAGGTTTTACCAAAAATTACGGAAAATAATAGGGAATTTTGGTTATGTAATACAACAGGAAGGTAGCCGAGCGGTCTAAGGCATGTACTGTCTTCGCTCACTTGGAAACCGGGATCGTGGGTTCGAATCCCACTCAGGGCATGGATGTTTAGTTTGTGTGTCTGCGTTTTTCTGTGTTTGTGTACAGGTAGAGGCCTTGCGACGAGCTGATCACCCGCCAAGAAAAAAAAAACACAACAGGAAATAAGCTATGAGTCTATCCGTTCTCTTGTTCATTTTTGTAACACAGACCTGTTGTACTGGATGGATGGACGGAGAGGTAGGTAGGTAGGTAAGTAGGTAGGCTGGCAGGCAGGCAGGCTGGTAGGTAGATAGATAGATCAATTTAAAGATTAATAACTGTGTTACGATTCATGTTGTGAAAACTACAATATTTGTTATTGACCAAACAGAATTTTTCCGAGAGATTAAATCTGTATTCCTCTTAAATTACAATTGCACAGCATGTACTAACGAAAGGGCCCGTTAAAGGGTCCATACATATCGACACAATTGTCCACACATGTATCGTAATATATTAGCATGGTGCAGATTGTAAAGTGTTTCAGTGTCACATGGTTGCGACGTATCCTTTCGCGGACGGAATATCGCGATACCAAGAAGCTGACACCGAAACATGTATGAACAAATATAAGCGAAAGACTCACGAAAATTATAGCGCTACAGAATGACGTGGCTATCAGGGCGGACTGCATAGAAAACACCGTTGCCAGCGGTACTCCCATTGTGCCACTGCCTAGCAACGTGTTTCGGTTTTCAGAAAATATGTCACAATATACAGCACCGCATTATTAAAAATATTTATTTGGAGTACCAGAAATGAACTAGAGACTCCAGGCTCCCGGCCGAGATTTGAAGTGTTTATCGCTGGGCCAGCCTGCTCGGTACCTAACATCGTCAATGTGTTTACTACGTTTTTCTTTATTCGCGTTTCTTGCTAGGATCAATTGGTGTTTGGATCTTAGGTAGGCGTTGTGCGAGGTTCGTTGGATTAGATGAGGTAATATTAGGCGGGATGGGGTTTGGTGAGGTAAGATGAAACGAGGCGGCTTCAGATGTGGTTAATTTTATCCTGTAATATAGAAAAACTAGTATGAATGCTTGAAGAATAACCTATTACTGGATAAACAATAGTAAACGATAAATGCTGGGAGAACGCACATTATCCAAGGAATTGCTCTATACTAAAAAAATACGTGTCGGTAGATTTGATATTTCAAAGATTAAGAAAAGGAGTTAATATTCGTATGTAGTTGATACTAAATTCCAAACCTGTGCAACACTGAGGAACTCCATATAAATTGACTTGAATAATACAAGGACGATTTAATAAATTATAAACATGGCTATGAAAACGGTGAGTGTGTGTATACATTTTGTGATAGGCAGTGACATATCTCTTCATTTCATTTGTCCAGTAGCTTTACTGACTTCGTAGTGACCACATGACATTTTCTGCAATGTTTTATTATTATTATGCTACGAGCCGGAAAGTCGCGGGTTCAAGTCCCGATGAGGTCATTGGATTCTTTTCAATTAACCTCATTCTTCCAGCCACACTATGGCCCTGGGGTCGACTCAGCCTCTAAAAGAAATGAGTACCAGGAATTGAATAAATAATTTTCCTGTGGAGTAAAGAACGGTCGGCGCTTAAGGCTGACAACCTTACCGCCATCTTTGAGCCGATTGTCTAGATAATGTGGGACCCTCAACGTCTCACAACCCTATGGGCCTTCACGGCCTGTTACAGGGATAACTTTACGTTCACTTTTTGTTTTACTTATTATTATTATTATTATTATTATTATTAGTAGTAGTAGTAGTAGTAGTAGTAGTAGTAGTAGTATTATTGTATATTGCTCTATTTGAACTTGAATTGCTCTTCGTTGTCACATTGTGGCTTTGTCTCTGTGCGTTTGTTTCTGTATATGTATTCATGTTCTCCCGGTAATTAGCCTTGAGCTGTTAAGTTAGCATTTAATAAATAAAAAAATAAGAATTTTAATTAAGAAATGAATAAGAATTAGTATTATTTGGATGTTGTGTTAGCACACAAATATGTAAGAATTAATTGAGTTATTGTTATTATTACTAACTTCTATGTGTGTATGTATGTATTGTCCTTTCTCACCACGTAATGGAATAACCGTTGGAAAAGTACTTCTTTTATTTTTCTCGCCTGTTAATGCCAACTTTAATTTTTCTTTGAATTATTATTAATTTATTGTCCTTATATAGACTGTCATATTTTGTATTTCGTTCTTCAATTATTTTTGTGTATTTCTATCTACTCGTGCTAACTTTGTAATTGGCCTCTGTGTGTTAATTTTGCACGTAAAAACATGAATTCAATTTAATT